TGATACTCGGAGTACTCGGATAGCTACTCACTTTAGACCGAAGTATCTGCATACTCGCGTGATTTGGATTTAGATACTCGAATCTTGAGTGTCAGAATACTCAGATACTCGCAAGATTTGAATTCAGATACCCGAATCTTCAGTATTTGAGTACTCTCCGATAGCTACTCACTTTGGACCCGAGTATTCGGATACTCGCGTGATTTAAATTCGGATACTCGAATCTTGAGTGCCGGAGTACTGGGAAAACTACTCACTTTGGACCCGAGTATTCGGATACTCCCGTGATTTAAATTCGGATACTCGAATTTTGAGTGCCGGAGTACTGGGAAAACTACTCACTTTGGATCCGAGTATCCGGATACTTACGTGATTTGAATTCAGATACCCGAATCTTCAGTATTTGACTACTCTCCGGTAGCTACTCACTTTAGAGCCGAGTATCCGGATACTCGCGTGATTTAAATTCGGATACTCGAATTTTGAGTGCCGGAGTACTGGAAAAACTACTCACTTTGGATCCGGTTACTCGCGAGATTTAAACTCGGATATCCGAATCTTGAGTGTCAGAGTACTCGAATAACCACTCACTTGAGACCTGAGTATCCGAATACACGCGTGACTTAGATTCGAATACCCGAATCTTGAGTGTGAAAGTACTCGGATAACTACTCACTTTGGACCCAAGTATCCGGATGCTCGCATGACTTAAATTCGGATACATTCGTATTACCCTCGCGACGAGTCCATCGAATACTAAATATCCGCGTCGAACAGTCTCCTATGATATTAATTCTCACATTTTTGAATCTTAATCATTTCCCTAAACTCACTTCCTCTACTCTAAATCCAGATAAGAAAACCTTCAAATTTGAGTAATTACCAAAAAAATCCAAATCTGGATACTGAAATACTCAGATAGTAAGAGCTCCAGTCCAAACTTCGTCGAATACGAATTCTCACGAAAAGAGTATTCAACGTTGACGTGTCGACGCGCGATAAACAAGACACGAATTTTACTTCTTTCATTCCGCTCGAGTGTAATTTCTACGAATGAAGCACACTACTACCGTTCGATTCTCGTAACGAGAACCAAGCCTTGACGTTTATCGAATCCTCGATATATAAAACGAAAGTTGGAAGCTTCGGAAGACTGGTCGAAGGTGTAGTAGAGTTTGAAGTAGAGCCGTTAAACTTCAAGCTCGATAAACTGGTTTCGATCGACTACTTGACGCGCTGCGCGCCAACCATTTGCATAATACCACGGTAATGGTGATCTTGCAAGAGACACAAAGGGAAAACAGTTCAACTGTGAAGATTACCATACCGATCGTGAGCCTGAGACCACACCTTGCTCCGTGGGCTAAAATTTATGACGGTTGGACAGGTTGTTTCATTTTACCGGAGGAACAAAGGCGGATTTTCTGTATCGCTGCCAATTGACATTTCCGACGAGCATTGACATTTTGTAGTTCTTTTTAAATTCCTCGATAGTATTGCCACGTGTTGGGTGAAACTGTTTTGAAAAGTTCAGAGACGCTGCGAAATCATTTTTTCTTTTTAACGATAATTGTATCACAAAGGAGTGATCTCAAACTCGTGGTTTGTCTGTACTGCGTTTGAAAAAATGTTCCCGTGTTAAATTTTATGGTACGAAGAAACTTTTGTTACGTGGAAAAGGAAATTGCAATTTTTTGATACAATGAATAAAAAAATTACGGTGAAGATTTGGAACAAGTAGTTTTCGAATTTTTATATGATTTACTGAATTGTCTGTTACAGACAATCTTTTCCTTTCTATTTTAATTACCAAAAACAATTATGTAGCTCTTTTTTCTTGTGTTTTTCAATTTTTCATTATTTCGACTAATTTGAACTTGAAATCAATTTTCAGAATTATGTGTGTGATTCGTCTGATAACAGACAATCCTTTCCTTTTCATTTTATTTTCCAAAAACAATTATTTAACTCTTTTTTTCAGTAACTTCCACTAACTATGACGTTCAAATATAAACCGTTCTAATTATCAGAAAATATTAATAAAAGATGAACACACTTTGGGTAAGCCCAGTGAAACAAATTTCCCTTCGATACACAAAATTCTCTAAAAGCATTTAAAAAAATCAACTAACTAAAATATATTTCTCCGTACCACAAAATTTCAACACCCAATCACACAAACGTGATTCATCGACGTCAGCGCGACGAGTAAAACGTCAATGATCCATTACCAAAGGTGTAACACCTGAAAACGCGATCAATTTCCAACGCGAAGAAGTCGATCGCGTGAAACGAAAAGAACCGCGCGACAACTTTGAGAATCGTGTGAGTCGAGTACAAAAATAAGAAAAAAAACATACGAACGAACAACAAAAACAAACCTATCCTACCACTTTCGAATATTTCTTTCGTTTCCTTTTTTTTCTTAATAATTACGAGTCGTGGTTATCGCGCGTACCGTACGATCGCATTTAAATAATCAGAATTGTTCGCATGCAGAACGAGAAGTAAGTTCTCTTCGGTGCACCGTGAAAAGGAGAGACAGCAAGCGGTTCACAAAAGGCGACATCAATCCACTACCAATCGCAAGCACAAGAAAATAATTTTTTTTTTAGGGAGAGAGAAAGATAGAGAAAGAGAGAGAAAGATAGAGAGAAGAGACACACACCGAGACCATATACGGCTGGAGGATAGAATAATGTACGTCAGAAGTATCGGTGAACATTTTCAGAGAAACGGAAACAAATGAACGAACGAAGAACAAGAAAAATCCAGAGACGGCTGATACACGCAACAGACACGTGCGGATCACATAAAAAGCAAAGCACATAACCGATCACGCTATTTCGACGAGCAACCATCTCTTAATTATCAATGAAAAAAAAAAAAAATTGAAAATTTCGTTTAATTATCGATGGAAGATAAAACAGAAAAAATTGAAAAATTTCGTTTAATTATCGACGGATGATGAAGAAGAAAAATTTGAAAATTTCATAGAAAACTTGATACAGATTGAGAAGATTGCTCTCGAAACGACGCGAAATAGGAAACAAAACACAGTGGCATAAAGTGCAGCTTCGAGTTTCTCTTCCAGAATTTTCCACAGCTTTCCCCGATTTTCTTTTCCGTCTGTGAACAACAAGAGGGGAAAAGAACGCGCCGTTACGGTGAAATTGGAACCCTCGTTTTCGAGGATGATTTACTCGATGCTGCACCAAGGGACGTCGAGCAGAAAGCCAAGGTGTTTCGAGGTTCCGATGCATGTATATATGTTGGATCGGTGGGTATTGGGGGCTTGTAAAGGGGCTTTTCTAGGACGGGGACCAGGTGGCCTATACAACAGTGGAGCATTCCGGTACACGCGGGCAAACATTCTACGCGACGCTACGGCATTTGGTGAAAATTGGATATCGAATGCTTCGATGGTAACCAAGTGAACCGCGTCCGTATTGACTGTTTCGGACAGGGCTCGTCGTTTGCGGAGCATTGTACGCTGTAAATCGCAGAGCTGGCCAACAGTTTCGTTTAACAGAACGCTGAGAGCATCATCCCCCGTTCCGTTCGCCGGGTATTTACAGGAGCGAGGAATTTCATAATAATTGTTCGAGATTGTTCTTTTCTTCTGTCGAACTTGAGAAGATATTTGTGTTTCCATGTTAACTGTTAAATTATTTTGCTAATAGTGTCAGTTTGTTAAGAATATCGAGATTCGTGAGAGCGCACTTTCTTCTGAATGATTAAATTTAATTAGAATGAGAATCTCGATTTTTTGAAAACATCCTTTTCCTTTTTGTGAATTTTCTGTTTTGTTTTTTTGTTCGATGGAAAAATGGAATTTTTGTTGTATTGTGTAATATTCTAAAATGAGGACTCGTTTTCTCTAATTTTAAAAAATTTTAAACGAATAAATTCAATTACAATGACAATTTCGACTTTTTGTAAACATCCTTCTCCTTTTTGCTATATTGTGTGACATGGACTGATTTTCTCTGATTTTTAAAAATACCATCATAAAAGCTTGCATTTTTTATCAATTGAAATTTTAATTGGTTTCTATCAATTTTTTTTTTAAGCGCTTCAATTATATTAACACTCAACTGTTACTCTCAGCGATCTAACAAAACATCTCCACATACGAGACTTAATCTACAAGATGATTTTACTATTCAATTATATTTCCAAGTGAACATTTTCGGTATTTCACATAAACCCGCAATGAAATTTCATTTAATACACATACTTTTCTTCGCACGAAAAATCCCCAAAAGCAATCAAGAAAAGCAATACACATTCCATTTCGAACCCACCGCTCAAATCCGCTTCTACCAATAAAAACTAAAAAAACAAAATAAAGATAACCGCCCCGAGCCTCGCAGCCCCACCCTACGAGAGACAGAAAAAAAAAGACCCACTTCACCCTACTGTTCTCCACCATCTCCTCGTTTCACCGAATTGACAATCATCGACCGTGAAAAGCTTGCAGCAGCAGCAGCTCCCGAATACACGCGAGCAATGCTACCCCTTCGTATTTCCACCAATTACCGTATTCATCCGGTAGAGAGTGTATTTCATAATTCGAGATTAGGACGAAGAAGTAGATAGAGAAAAATAGAGAAACAGAGCGTTGCAGCTTGGAAATATGTTCGGGTATAAGGTAAGCATCGATGATATATCATCGTCGAAGATTCGTATAGGAATTCTGATTTGGCTGGTTTTGATGATGGAGTTGCGTGAAGGGATCAACACTATATAAATATATAAACAAATATATATTTATATGTATATAGATATGATAGATAAAATAGGTTCGCTTGCGCTGCTCCGTACACAACGTGTATAACAATATATACGTTGTCACAAAGAAGAAAGTGTATATACGTATATAGATAATACATGTGTGTGTACCGGTATTTTTTTTTTCATTGAAGGGTCTGGTGGTAGCATCTCTTGGGGGTTGCTGGTAACGGGAGAGGGTGGATCACGAAAAACAAAAGACTTACGGCGTCTGCCACGAGGTGTGCGGGCGGGAGGGCTGCCTGCAAGTGTCCACTCTTCAGCAGGGGGTCGGCGAGGCCTGCCACGCTGGCGTGTAAGGGGCTCGGGTGGAGAGGATGATGTGGGGTGGTAAGGTGGGCCGTGGATAGGAGCGGATGCCCGTGAGAAGCGGCAAAGGCCGAGGATGAGGGGTGGGCCGCGAAGGGCGAAGTCGTCAAAGTTTGGGTGTTCAGCGAGGGCGGGGTGGGCCCGGCAGCGGGCGCGGGCAATGGCAATACTGTACTTACGTCCGAGTGGGCGGGCACCGCGTAATTACCCTGGATGGTGTAGGCTTGCCCACCAGCCAGGATCACTGGCCCACCAACTTGGGGTTTGGGGCGATAAGGGATCGTGGCACCTTTGGGAGGGGACTGAAACAGAAAGAAACACACGCACGAGTGCGAATACACCGATCGATGACCATTCCACACTGAGGCTGGGATAACAACCCTCAGGTAGTACAGGTAACCCTTGTGTAGCAAGATACAGCTTTGATCCGTAATAAGCAACTAATATCTGGCTCGTAATAAGCAACTAACGCTTGGCTCGTAATAAGCAACTAACGCTCGTCTCGTAATAAGCAACTAACGCTCGTCTCGTAATAAGCAACTAACTCTCGGCTCGTAATAAGCAACTAACGCTCGGCTCGTAATAAGCAACTAACGCTCGGCTCGTAATAAGCACCTGTTGTACCTAATTCAACAAGTTATCCAAAGTTTTGTATTGGTTCCCGCAATTTTCAGACTGTGTTCTGTCAAAACTGTATTATAGGAGGGTCACCTGTACTTTTGGTTTCTGTGCATTTTTTGGCTGGGTTATTCATGTGTACAGGGAATAACGTCACTCTGGTCAATGTGTAATTTATAAGTACAGAGAATGATAGAAAATGACCAATATTAAATCTCTCTGCCAATGAAAATCTTGTTCTAATCGTGTGTCTTCACTTGTTTGTGAAAGGGTAAGAAGATGGAGAAGAAAATCCCACTGGATCCCTCATTTTCAGGAAGTCGAAATTTCAGCTATATCAATTTTCTCGATTTCCTGAAGATAAAGTCCAATGGACACTTTTCCTTCTTCGTCAAGCTGAACACACAGTACTCTCGAGAGCAGCTATCATAAAAATCTCTCAGACACACACATACCCTAAGTTAAGGATAACGTTTGCTGAAAAATCCAAAATTTCACAGCTCAACAGCAACCAGAAGATTTTTCTGTCCCCTAAAATCTTGCCCATTCTTCTATCCCCTAAAATCACAGACCAGAGTGACGCGAACTTAGGGTGTCTATTAGCAATGTGCGTACCTCTAGCATAACACAGCAGATGTGATATATGCACTGCGTGATGGCCTCGCTGGTACCGGATATGGTTACAGCACGTTCCGTCGAATTGGGTAGCATCTCTGAGGCGACCTGGATCGACGCGCCGGTCACCTCGCGGATCTCCTTGATCTTCGAGCCTCCCTTGCCGATCAGGGAGCCACACTGCGATGCTGGCACGATCAGCCTGAGCGTGATAGGCGGCCTTGGCACACCACCGCCGCCCTGGATGTCGTGGAACTGCGAGCACCATTCCTCGAACTTCTTGCAGATCAGCGTGAAAGCTTTGAAGATCGAGTTCGTCGGCCCGGTCACCGTCACTATTCGCTCGGGGCATGATCCGTCGGAGATGTTGATCTTCGCGCCGGACTGTGGAGCAAAAATTACAATCATTCACAGATATTTTTAACAATTCTTTCATGATTTCATGGGCAATAGTTAATTTTGTCACCATTTAAAGATGGTTAAACTCGATATGTGGATTTTTTTACGAGTTTTTCAAGAATGTTTTTATGTACTTATAACTGACAGAACTTTTGTACTTTTTGAATGTTTTGTTGAGGAATTTATAAGTGAGTTCTATAAGGTGTAATAATAAAGTTTGACGTTTCGAGAATCATTTTGCTTCCGTCAAAGTGGTAGCAAGGTAAACAGTTACGTTCATCTGGTGTGTAGCCTGATCATCCCTCTACCTGCATGCGAAAGGTAAACATTGTCAATCGAGTCAAACGGGTTCGACCTGAAATTGCTTCGTGGTGGATTTCGCAACGTAACAATGCTCCCGCATATTCAGCCGTTCTAGTGAAAGAGTTTTTAAATTTAAAATTGATTACGTGGTTGGAGCATCTCTCATATTTGCCTGATTTGTCTCCTCGTGGCATTTTTCTTTTTACTTTTCTCGAGCAAAAGGAATCGTGAAAAGAACGAAATTGGGATTAAAAAATTTTTTCATGAATTATTCTCGAAACTTTATTGTCACACCTAGTATATTTCAATACTTCCATATTGTCTAAAATATTTGTCAGATTTGCGACCAGTGAGAGGAAATTTCGAACATTTTCTATGTAATATGCTTTCACAAATTTTGGTAAGTTTAATGTCAAATGCAATGATTTTATAAAATATATGTTCTCCTATACGAAATATGTTGTATTTTTAATCACTTGAGTGGGAACGTATTACGTACGAGTAGCTTAGAATTTTTATTCAAATAAAAATATACGAAATATTTTACTTTTGTAATCTGCAAATATTCTTACAAAGTACAACACCAAAGTGCATAAAATTTCCATGGAAAAGTACTGCAAAAAACGTGTACTATGACGTGCGAGATTGTAAATTATACGGGAACTACTTAAAGTGAAAGAACATAAATTTGTGGAATTACGAAAGTGTTTACGCCGATGTAGAAACTGCAGAACATGCGTTTTCAATAAACTAATTCTTTAAGTGGTTTGAATTTATCGCCACTTTTGTGTTATTAGACCACCGCTGACGTCCATTGGAAACACAAAATTGTTAGTTCGATAACAAAGAATTACTGTACTTTCTTCACCTTTTATCTTTATTGCAATTTGCCGTGTGATATTTTACGCTGAAAGAAAATTAGGTCCTTTTAAAAAAATCAAATAAACACCGTTCGCAATTGTTTTACGTAGTTTAACATTTCGAAATGAAACACTTTTTTTTATATAGTACCTTGCAAAGCATTGCAACATTCCATTTTATTTCACGCACATATCAAAAAACCTTTACGTTGCTCTATAAAAAGGAAAGCAAAATGTGTAATAAAAAATTATGCCTAAAAATAGTAATAAATAAATTAAAATAGTAACAAGAAAAAATTGTGTCAATTTCTTTCCAATTTCAGCTGTTTCAGTAGAAAGAAATGTTTCACCTTTCGCAATCTCTTAAATTGTACACTATTTTAAAGCCGATGCGATCAAAAACAATTATCAAAATTATCATGCCATTCTAACATCCACCACGACCATTATCGCGTTTTATACCGCGCTACTGTTCGTATTACAATGTAAAATAAACGTTGTATATAAAACCATGCTTTCGCTGGTTTACGCTGTTTGCTTTCTCCAGCTGCACATACATTATTTATAATTTTGCTATGCTGTGCTGTTGCAACGTCATTATCGTGCAACGATAACCGACAATCGCGACGGTGCTTGTCGCATTTTTCAACGGTCCGATAGAGCGACACTGGCGTTTCTGGCCATTCAAGTGATTAAATACCGGACAATGGGCGTTGAATTAAACTATTGAATACTGTGTCATTGTTCGAAACCGTATTACGCTACCTGCGAAGAAGCTGAATGAAACACACGGACCTTCTCTACAACCCGAGGGAGCGGGAGAGCTCGATTAATCCTATTGTTCTGTTTAAACTCGAAATGTTATTCGTTTATCCGATGAACGCAAAGTAAGGTAAATTTCGAATCATTTTTTCCCGGGAAATTTTAAGTAATACGCTTTTAAAACGAGGAAGAAGTTTTTTAAATATTTCACGCAAGCGGAAAAGAAGAAATCTATAGATCACCAAGGATCCATAGATCACCAAAGATCCATAGATCACCAAAGATCCATAGATCACCAAAGATCCATAGACCACCAAAGATCCATAGACCACCAAAGATCCATAGATCACCAAAGATCCATAGATCATTAAAGATCCATAGATCACCAAAGATCCATAGACCACCAAAGATCCATAGATCACCAAAGATCCATAGATCACCAAAGATCCATAGATCACCAAAGATCCATAGATCATCAAAGATCCATAGATCACCAAAGATCCTCAAAGATCTATACATCATGAAAGATCTATAGACCACCAAAGATCTATACATCATGAAAGATTTATAGACCACCAAAGATCTATAGATCGTCAAAGTGTCATTTTCATATACAGCGTGGGTTTTATAATAATTATTGCTATTATTCTCATTTTAAATCAGTTTTCAGAAATATGAGAACTGAGAAAACACAATGGCACAATAAAATTGTGTAATAATAAACATTTTATAAACTCGCGGGATACGTCCATTCTTTCCCCTTTAGATTCCTGTAGATGGAACATTTTTTTTTTTTTATTTATCCCGCGTCAGAGGCTCTTTAAGCGAATACAACAACCTATGAATGTAGGTCGTTGGAAGCTATTTTAAATCTCTTTGTTACACCACCCCAACGTTGTAGTACCTGAAGAATTCGTTGTGTTGGTTAGTGAATTAGGCGCGTATCGACTATACGTTGTTCGTACAACCCGGAAAAAATAGAATTATTGCTTAGAAACGTGGATGAAACAGCTTGCAGAATTATCAATTCTAATTTAATTTCTCTCGAGACATTTATTTTAAAAAACCAACCTTTTATAGTCTTTAATAACAGACCGTCGATTAAACTGCATTTTTTATATTTTGTAAATTTAACGAAACAGATGAACGCAGAAATTCAATGAAATTGAATATTTACAAATTTTCACTGCATTTGACATTTAAGAAACAAAATTGTGATCTACTTCTCATTGTTATTTTTTTCTATCTCACATGATTATATTTTTAATAGTTCAAGTTTATAGATAATAGGGAACAATATAACTGGTTGATTGAATTTCTTAAAATTTGATGGCCAATAAACGACATTATGCGAGTAAAGTGTGAGAACGAGCGATCCTTAACACGTCGATCACCAAGCGTGTCGTGCTTAATTAAGCATCGTGTACAATAACTAATACATTGTGAAATCAGGTTAATACGATACCACCATACGCATACGAAGCCGCTATTAAATGATCTTAGAGCCTAAATTAATTGCGTGATTCATTGCTTATGTCGACAATAAATTGCAGGTAAACTGGTTACACGTCTCTCTTCCCTTGTAGAACAAATCTTTACGAAGCAAATTACAAAGTAAAAATATTATTTACTGATAACTCTCGTATAACGAGGTAGTTACGTTCTTATATGCATGTTGTGTAATATACAATCATGTTATGCAAGACTAAACATAAAAAGAAATAGCTTCGTAAACGGACAGAAAGATGAGAAAAATTTACTATTTTACGTTCACCGTTACAGAAATATTCTTTTTCGTAAATTACAAACAATAATTTTTACAGGAACGAAAAAGAAAATTCATTATTTCATGTCTATCGTTCTAGAAAAATTCTTTTTTATCAAATTTAGAACAGAGTTTCATAAATTACAGAAAATAATTTTTATAGAAAGATGAAAATTCACTATTTCATGCCTATCTTTACAGGAAAATTCGTTTTTATTAAATACGGAACAGAATTTCATAAATTACAGAAAATAATTTTTATAGAAAGATGAAAATTCACTATTTTAAGTCTATTTTTACAAGAAAATTAGCAAATATTCGTTTAATTTTTACGTGTCACGAAATTATAATTTACGAAAAAAAGAAAAAAAGTTAAATTTGTTAAATTATAGAATTATACAGTCAGAGAACCGGGAAATATGTTGTTCGAATCGAACAAGAGAAATTAATATCAGAATGCATCGCAACAACGCAACATAACATTGGCAACAGCTTCTTGCTATAACGTGTAACAAATCGACCTGTCGAATATCCGACGCGAACTAATTGCCACTGACGCCAACTTACCGAGGATGCAGTTTTCGGGATACATATATCAAAGGAGAGAGGATGACCTTAGTTTCCAGATGACTAAGTTAGACTTCCTACGAAGGCAAACTTTGAAACAGAAAGTGAGCCACGTTGATGAATATTTCTAGATACATAACTGCCGCTTGCTCAACTTATCAATGGAATGAGCCTAATGATTCATGACAATTAGACGACGAGTCATCCTGTTGCACGTTAAACGAACTTTCTTCGTTACGAAAGGGAACTTGTAAACAGTGCTTATTAAATTCAGCAAAAAAGAGAAAAAAAATAATAAAAATTTTAACGATCATTTTTACATCTTTTATTTTATTCATTTTCAATATTAATTTAGTACTGACAGTAAACAAATATTTGTATATTCTTACTCTGACCTAATTTCTACCAACGTGTGCTTCATAATTTTTTAATAAATCACACATATAAATACCCATATCTATATGAATTTTCTTCTCATTTTCGCAAAACTTTCTTCCGACTTTATCTAATTTTCAATATTAATTTAGTACCGACAGCAAACAAACATTGATATATTTCCACCAACGTGTGCTCAATAATTTTCCAATAAATTTTTTTCTCATATTCGGTCATAAAACATATCAACAAAACTCCCCCCAAAAATCTACAAAGCGCCTGGAATAAGAAACCCGCGTTACTCATACGCGCGCGACTCCTTGTACAACAAACAACACTAATTACCAGGTGATCAACGTGTCAACTCAGCCAAATCTCCATTAAATCTCGTGTCTCACCAAAAATCCTAATGTAAAGATCGTAAACAATCTCGAAGCAGAAATATACCAGAAAAAAACAAACACAGTTCATTAATTACCTCTTCCCGGAACCTCTTGACGATCTCTCCTTTCTTTCCAATGATGCTTCCGACCTCCTGCAACAAACAGAACGAACAACACCGTTAGACATAGGACAAGTAGAACCGTCGGGAGTTTTACGACGGTCAGAAACGCAACGGCGGACCATAAAATTCGAAATGTTCGCTCGATCGCTATACACTAGCGCTGGTTATACTACGTTCCATGGAACCGGTCGTAAATACCAGTCGTCTTACAACCACTGTGAAACGGTCGTTGTAACGCGTTCGCTTTTTCCGACGAATTAATGGATTTACAACGCTTCTGTGTCTCTCCTTTAACGGTTCCACACTACAAAGGAGACGGGCCTCTCTCTCTCTCTAGCGCGCGCGGTTCGAAAGCGCGCGATAATTTGAACGAGGTTGGCGCGTAGAGCGTGTGACCGATATCACGGGTCCGTTTCCACGCGGTATACTACCACGCGTGCTCCTGACACTTGTAATCACTCGTTAGCGCCCAATTACTCGATTAATATATGCGGAATGCACGGCTGTAATTAATTCCATGCGCGTTCAATCGGAAGCGATTTTCGCTACGCGTTCTGATGTCGTTACGCATGGTTCGTCGCTTTTTATGAGCGGAACAACCAATGCACGTTTTGTCCACACTCGTTATTGGAAGTGTACGTAGGAATTTTGGTTGTTTGGTATTGCGTTTCGGGTCTTTCAAATTTTTTCTCTTTTCATTTTCAATTTGCTCCGGCGGATTTGCTGCTTCGGGGAAGAGTTTTTCTTTTTTGGTTTCAATGGGTATTTGGGATTTTGGGTTTAGGCGAGTCTGAGTTGTTTACATTGAATTCATTAAGAAAATTATTGGCTTAAATTTTTGTAGCAGATTTTTCATACAACTTTTTTACTGGTTCCAATGGATATCTGGAATTTTGGGATATTGTGATAGTGTTAGGCCAGTTTGAGTTCTTTGCACTGAATTCATTAAGAAAATTATTAAATATAGGATTTTTTTTATTTTATACACAAAGCTTAATTAAATTTTCTAAAAAAATTTCTGTTTCTTATCAGATCTGCTATTCTATGCAATTTTTTTTTTATTGGTCCCAATGGATATTTAAAAGTTCGGAACATTTTTATTAAAATAATTGTTTTTATTTTATACACAGAGCTTAATTAAATTTTGTAAAATTTTTTTAGATTCCCTTTTGTATTGCTTCCAATACAGCGACACTGTGAGTTGTAAGTGTTTGATTTGAATAAGATAATGAGGTAAAACGCAATTTTTCTATTTTTTAATTTTGTCTCAAAGCTTTCTCAAATTTTCACCTAATTAAATTACGTAATTTTGTCGCACTCCCGTTTATTTCCTAAATTCTCCACGTTACATAAACCATTAGAAAGTATCAGTGCATAATGTATCATTAAATGTTTCCGATTAATCCAACACTTCTTACTCGCGATCATTAATTCGTTAACGTACCATTTCCCTGTTCGTTTACTATTCCTGGACACTCTAATTATCCCCGATATTAGGATGTTATACGAGTGGATACAGTGTGAAGTTCATGCTAAATTGTGCTCAGGTACAGAACGCACTATGCTATACGGTACTATAATTAAACCCTCATAGAATGTTTCTATTTCAGAAAGAGACGAAGTTATTACAGTAAACGTACTCGGGTAACGTACAAATTTAATCACCCTTCTATCTTCTCATCTACTACACTTTTTCACCGAAATAAAAATTACACATATAGCAAAGAAAATCTTATTATCGCAAAAATTGTAAAAATTTTACAATATTTATTGCATTGGAAAATTTAAACTTGGAACATCGGTGTATTGTCGATCAAATGATTAATAAAAATGTTCCAAAGCGATGGAAACTATCGAAGCACAAGTAGATTTGTAGGATCGTATAAAGAGTGCACAAAGCAGGTTGAAAGATAAAGATAATTGGATCTGACTTTGGTTGGCAGACTGGTGAATTCTAGAACAGACGTATTGTTTCACGTTGCTGTATATTCTCCGACGAGCTTCTTAGTTTTTCTCACTGTTTCAAGAGAACGGATTGAACGATACTGCTCGAGAACATAAAAACTTCACGATGAAGTTAATGGTTAAAGTCTAAAAGTGTGAAGAAACACACTCTATCATAAATTCAAATGGAATTTACGACGCAGGAGATTCTGAACGTAATATCGATACCGGCAATATCAATGAAAAGAACTTTATAGATTTATCTTCAGATTTGCCTCGGTGAAAATAGGTAAAAATTTGGGAGAATTACAATCGGTATTTTATATTTAGCAAATGTTGAATTTTCGAATTAAAGCAGACAGAGTTTTTTACGAGAGTTTGTTTTATTTGAAAATATTATTTAACGCTGAAGTATTATAATTATTTGAAGGGTGAAAGATGATAGCTCGTTTGAAATATTTTTTTTCACCATGGTAAAACACGTTGTAGGAGTTACGGTTAATTAAATTCCGGAAATTGTCTACTTTTCGCACGGGGAAAATTGCTTCGTTGCGAGCAGTAACAATATGGAAAATTCTAATTTGCACGATGGTAATTATGTTAAACAGTAGAGCCATTACGAAACCCAAATTTAATAGTGTACAACATGTTTTATTCAATCGAACAGTGTAATAAAATGAAAGATTTCCCTGCACAATTTTCAAGTGACAGAAAGTTACATCGAAATCCTAGAGCTATTACAAAAATCAGATAAAACATTTGCCTGTACAATTTTCAAATACCAAAAAGTTCCATCGAAATTCTAGATCTATTACAAAATTCAAATTTATCAGAATAAAATGCATCTTATTAAATGAAGTAGTATAATCAAATGAAAAATTTCCCTGCACGCAATTTTAGTTTAATTAATATTAAATTAACTGAAAATTAATATCAACGACAACTGTAAAACAAAATGCAACTTTTTTTGCACAATTCCCAAATAATAAAAAATTCCTTCAAAATCCTAGATCTATTACAAAAATCAAATAAAAACTTTCCTTGCACAATACACAATTTTAATTGAATTAATGTGAAATTGACTGAAAATGAATATTAACGAGAATTATAATCAAAAAGAAAAATTTCTTTGCACAATTTCCAAATAATGCAAAATTTCTTTGCACAACTTCCAAATAACAAAAAATTCCATCAAAATTCTAGATCTATTACAAAAATCAAATAAAAACTTTCTCTGCACAATACACAATTTTAATTGAATTAATGTGAAACTGACTGAAAATGAATATTAACGAGAATTATAATCAAAAAGAAAAATTTCTTTGCACAATTTCCAAATAATGCAAAATTTCTTTGCACAACTTCCAAATAACAAAAAATTCCATCAAAATTCTAGATCTATTACAAAAATCAAATAAAAACTTTCCCTGCACAATACACAATTTTAATTGAATTAATGTGAAACTGACTGAAAATGAATATTAACGAGAATTATAATCAAAAAGAAAAATTTCTTTGCACAATTTCCAAATAATGCAAAATTTCTTTGCACAACTTCCAAATAACAAAAAATTCCATCAAAATTCTAGATCTATTACAAAAATCAAATAAAAACTTTCCCTGCACAATACACAATTTTAATTGAATTAATGTGAAACTGACTGAAAATGAATATTAACGAGAATTATAATCAAAAAGAAAAATTTCTTTGCACAATTTCCAAATAATGCAAAATTTCTTTGCACAACTTCCAAATAACAAAAAATTCCATCAAAATTCTAGATCTATTACAAAAATCAAATAAAAACTTTCCCTGCACAATACACAATTTTAATTGAATTAATGTGAAACTGACTGAAAATGAATATTAACGAAATCCTAGATCTTTGATGTTTATAAAATAAAAAATTTCCCTGCATACAATTTTAATTCCATTAACCCTATATTGACTGAAAATTACTATCAACGACTGGTATAATCAAAAAGTAAAATTTCCATAGACCAAAAATCCTCCCCTTCGCAAACACCCAAAAATATACCTAACGAGCCTCATTAGCAAAATCGTGCAATCCGCGGGAAAACTATCTTCACCTATGCCAAGCTACAAAGTAGCATCGAGCAAGTTCTCTCGTCGCATATAGCTCGAGTTGCACTCTGCACAAGAAGCACACACCAACAGACGTACACGCGCTCGCACATAGAGTATACGTCCGCGACTAGAAACCTATAATTAGTTGCGCGTTCGTGGTCGATGTCCAGCCAGATCTCGTATCTTCGTTGACACGCTCTGACCCCACGATAATGTCACCGCTTAGGCTTCTGGGCGAAGCAGGTATGCGTTCTGCTCGTGCGCTCCCTCTAAACTTAGATGGTGGCTAGCAGCACATAGAAACAGAGGGAGTGAGAGAGCGAGAGACGACCGAGATGCCAGGCGTCTCGTTCCACGAGAGACGATGCCACGAACGCTCCGCGTATCGTGCTAAATTCTTGATTTCTCGAGCGACAGGGCATCGAAGAAAGCCGCGTCGCGACGCGACAACGCGTGTTCTAGCCACTTTCTGGTCTATTTTCGGGGGAAACTGAACTGATCCGATGGTTCAACCGAAATAATGTTCGGATAATCCGACAGCTTTCTCTCTGCGATTTGGACGATTTTTGCCTTTTTGTTGTCGAGTTCGAGTCATTTTTCAGATGCCTACGGTTTCGCTTCTAGATTTATCTCGGGGGTGGTTTCAGGTCGAAAGGTGATTTAACCCTTTTAATGTTGATGCGAAGTAGGTGATGTGATAATTTTGTCGCACTGCGATGTTATCTTAATTTCATCCTTAACTCCTGACTTCTGCAAACTTTTCACCGCAATTTGATAAATTTCAAATTTTTCATTTTAATTCTGAAACGAAAATTTTGTCGCACTACGATGTTAACGATTTTTGCCGCACTTTCAGCTTAATTTAATCCTTAATTTTTGCCCTTTGCAAGCTTCCATTTCAATACATCGACGAATTTTTAAATTTTAATTCTGAAACTTCAATTCTTAGAATCTCAAAATTTTGATTTGTTTCAACTTTTGTGTGCTGATGGCGACT